TTTTAACAACTAACATGAACAGTCAGTAAAATCAGACTTTTAGTGATCGAAAGCTGTACACGATATCTGTAGAAAGAAGACTGAAAGTAATAAATGTTTTTCATATTAGCTTTTACACAACAGTTATCCATCTATATAACATTTTCAACCGTTTCTAAATAATAATGCACTTTTAACCATATGTGTTCCATTTTTCATAATGCGGCTAAACCCACACTGCTTCACTGCTTTTTTTTAAAAAAACACACACACACACACACACACACACACACACACACACACACACACACACACACACACACACACACACACACACACACACACACACACACACACTTGTAGGGCTTAAGAATATGCATGTGCATTGTCATGCACATTGTCAGTTGCAGTGCTCTTCTCCCGCTCTTCCATTTTAATGTTTGATGGTGCATTATCCCTCCTATTACCATGGCTAAGTGGCCAGAAGTAGTTGACATTACATTATATATTTTCAGTGCAGCTACAATAAAGATACCTTGTAGGGTAATTCAGCCACCATTTATAGATGCTTTTCGTGTCAGTCGGAGGGAAGATAAAAACATAGTCTTTGTAAAGAAACATTTCAGTCACGCAGGGAGAACTCCTTAAGTCATTTGAAACTGTTTTGTCGTCATTATCAGTGATGCTATCATTATTACTCTCTTCCTTAAACCGATTCAATAAAATTAGCCGACATTTCCTGTGAAAGACACATCTTTGCACCAAATGGGAAATGTGTCATAACCCCGTAGCTAAGCACAATTGTTGAACACACAGTGAAAAATTTAACAATAAATTCATAAATAGTCAACTGCATTTTAAATCCACTCCCCCCCAGTCTGCTTCCTCTCATGCAGGTAGCTCTGCAATGCGTGTGCTTATGTGTGTGAGATAGAGGGGGCGAGAAACACTCATAACTTATTTTGTTGTCTTAAGTGTGTGTGTGTGTGTGTGTGTGTGTGTGTGTGTGTGTGTGTGTGTGTGTGTGTGTGTGTATATCTTGTGGTCTTGCAGTTTGTTGACATAGCCTAGAATGCAGTGCTCTCATTGAGAGGCTGCATTTTACTATTAGAAGAGATATTGCTTTGTGTGTGGAGTGGACACACCCTTCCACACACAGACTGTATATTGGTTGAGAAAAAGTAACAGCCCTGTCATTGATAGAGGTTTACTTCTGTGTGGCAGAGAGTATGCTACATTCACTCTCTTGCTCTAGGCTCTTATTACATTACAGGCATGGGCCACCAAGGAGGCTGACCACACATACAGAGTTCTTTATCTACAGTGGGGTGGACTATTGATAGAGAACATTTGAAATGTAATTGGGTTTTCTATATAAGATGGTTTTGTCAGTGCGAAAGAGGATAACAGCCAGTTGACTATACTGTATAAATCCATGTAAACAGAGGCTATTTTAGCAAGAAAGCTATATCTGCTGTGCTTCTTCCTACCTGTCAGTCACTCATTATTTATGCACATATCCCTGTTTTTCTGGCTTTCCTGTTAGTCTTCTGGTTTCTTTGTCTTACTGTCTGATTGTCTGAATCTGCTGTGAGATAACCTCTGTCCATCACATGCCTATTGATTAGACGCATCTATACACATGCTTGATCTCCGTAACTCATGTATTGATTAAACTTCACTAAGCAAAGAGTGCCTTCCCATCAATTTGATTAATACTACACACACAACGCCTATTACCTGGCATGATGCACTCAACCCATTCTCGGTTGATTCACTGGATATTCAGACAGAGGTTCAGATGTGTTTGCTGCGCATAAATGAACCTGTGTAAATTAGTGATTAGATTGTAATGCCCCTATTATTATGAACTCTAGTACTTTAATACTACTAGTTGTTAGGAACCTTGACAGACACTTGGACTCAAACGCACGACTCAAAAGAAAGTTTGTTCAAAAAAGTCTTTACTTTGGAAAAGTATAAAGTTCAAACAAAAATCACTCCTGAGAGGCAAAACGTAGCAAAGCAAATTACAAACTAAATAAACTTGACTATGGTCACAAAGTACAATAATCTCTTGGCGAGACAAGCTGGCTCTCTAAATGGCACCAGGCACAAGACAAACTGGCACAGGACAAAGGGAGACAGGACTATTTATACATGAGGTAAGGGGGAACAGGTGGAAACAATCAGGGGCGGGGCAGACGCTGACGATGGCGGGAAAACACACAAAGGGAGGAAGTAAGGGGACCTGAAATGAGAGACAAGAGACTGTGTGATATGCTCTTTACTTTCTAATCAAAGTTAAAAAAGCCTGAGATGATGTTTACATGTACACTGAGTTTGCTGAAACAGAAAAAGATGAGGTGCTACACAGATACCTGGCCTTAGAGTCACAGAAGAGATGTGCCTGTTGAAAGCAGAAAGATAATTACAGTTATCAAGTGAGTTGGCACAAGCTACCACATATGTTTTGTTGAAGTACCAAGCTGCAGACACACACATGTACACTGACAATTACCTCACAACGTCACACACATTTTGGACACAAGGCCCCCAAGTAAAGCCAGATTTTTATAAGGAAAACCTTTTTATATGTAATGACCTTATTGTTAGATTATGTGCTTTATATGTTGTGGAAAAAAAACTGAAGAAATATATTCAAGGAGGTTAAATGAGCGCTTGTTAACTCTGATATTTAGAGCAAAAGTCGAAGCAGGAGATTTCGAGCAGCTTTGCTCTGTGCGAGTGGCTCCAATTAGTCTGGAAAAACATGCACAACTAAACACAACACGTACCTGTACATGCACATGCATTCATGCACAGATAACTGCCCAAACAAATTGGATAAATATCCGGATTTTTGCAGACAAGAAAGAACACTAGGGTGAGCAACTCTGGTACACACATTTACAAACAACTTGACCAGCCAAACAAATGCAGAGAGACAGAGGGCAACACACATTAGACAAACAGAAGGAGAAAAAACAAGTGCATTATGGCATTTTTTTGTTATTTTTCTGTAAAGCTATTATTTCCAAACTGAAAAAGAAAAATGGTTATACTGTAGCTTTATATGGTTGTCTGTAGAGTCTATCCTAGTAGGGACCCACAACTGTGAATTACATTACATTGCCTTTAGCTGACGCTTTTATCCAAAGCGACTTACAATAAGTGCATTCGACCAAAACAGAATCATATAAGTACATCAGGTTTCATAGAGCTAAACATTTCAAGTGCTACTCAACTGGCTTTAGATAAGCCAGTCCTTTATTAGTATATAAGTGCTTTGTTAGCAATTCTTTGTTAGTAATTCTATCGCTCGAAGTGGAGTCGAAAGAGATGGGTTTTAAGTCTGCGCCGGAAGATGTGCAAGCTTTCTGCTGTCCTGATTTCAATGGGGAGCTCATTCCACCATTTTGGAGCCAGGATAGCAAACCCACGTGTTTTTGCTGATGGGAACTTAGGTCCCCCTCGCAGTGCGGGTGCAGCGAGCCGTTTGGCTGATGCAGAGCGGAGTGTGAATGTGGTGAAAGGAGAACCGTTGCAGTTTTGGGAGTGCTTAAAAGCTATTTGATGTGTTGCACAGGTAAAAGTGCCTTGGTAGAGTTCGCCAAAATGTTTTTGTCAGCAGAAATAGAAAGGCTGGCACTTTTCACAAACTGTGACCAATCTTCTAATACTCTAAACCACTTACACATGATCCTTCACTTTGGGCAGCCTCTAAAGTCCATTACTTCAGCCAGTTGACCTGTACACAAAAGGGGTCTATTTTTGTGGCGGCGAAATGACCAGCAGTGCCCCGACTGTTTGGTATCTACCAGAGCATGAAATTCTTCTGAAACTGTTATCAGAGAACAAGCCTAAGTCCTAAGCCTAAAGCTGCAAAAGGGCAGCTTATTGACAGTGAGCTGAATCAGGACCAGGTCATTTGAGGGTGAACCTCATGAACTAGTTTTTAAAGGCAACATGCAGGTTATGAACAAATCGTTAGGATTTGTTTGTGCAAATATCTCAACAACATCTCTAAATTAAAGAGATATACTTCAGAAAAAATGACTTTTGATACTGTTTCTTCGAACAGGACACATGTTGTTCATCTTCATTTTCACGTAGGCTTATGATTAAAACTTAAACGTTTCTAAGGAACCAAAACCAGTAATCACCAATCTGTTAATAAGTAATGTTTAACTGGGATGAAAGTGTTACCTAAAAAAAACGAATTCTTGATAATTTGAACCTTGAACAAGGAATGTTAGAGGTCACATTTACCTTTGAATAGTTTGTCACTGTAATTACCTCACTACATAAATGCTGTAACTTCTCAGCTCTAGAAATTGAGAGTCAAAAGTTTACCTGTGCTTTAAAGAAAGCTATCTTTCATATTTACAGTATTTATCGCACCAAGATGCTTTACACATGATTCAAAGGTGCAAGGACACATGATGCACTCAACCAACACAATGTCAAAATTCAAGCTGAGAAAGAAAGGAGAGAAAAAGATAGAGTGAGTAGGTCAGTGGTTTTCATTTCTGTGTTAAAGGCCTCTTCTTGCTGCCAGCTGCTGTGACACTTGTACCCTTTACACCCCAAGGACCTACTGTGTGTGTGTGTGTGTGTGTGTGTGTGTGTGTGTGTGTGTGTGTGTGTGTGTGTGTGTGTGTGTGTGTGTGTGTGTGTGTGTGTGTGTGTGTGTGTGTGTGTGTGTGTGTGTGTGTGTGTGTTCTTGCAATTGAACGTCCTTCTCATCTCCCCCAGGCTACAAGGCAATGTTTCTTGGATTTTCTATAAATAATCACAGTTATGATTTATTCGGCATGCCTATCATTTCTTCTCCTCTCCTCTTCTCTTCTGACCTCTTCTCTTCTGACCTCTTCTCCTCTCTCCTTTCCTCTCCCACCTCTCTCTCTCCCCTCTCCTTTCCACAAGCCAGTTACATTCTTCGAAGAACAAAACAACAACTTGAATATGCTTGAATCTTTTCTTCTAACACTTGGCTTCCTGTTTCTGTCTCCCTCCAGGATCCCTCTGTCTCTCTCCTCCTTCACGATAAGCTTCAGGTGCCCAACAGTTCTCGGCGGGCGTGGAACGAGCGTGACAGTCGCTGTGATGTCTGCGCCACTCACCTCACTCAGCTCAAACAGGAAGCTGTGCGCATGGTCCTCACTCTCGACCAGTGGGATTTGTCCCCCCCCTCTTCCCCTTCGGCCCTCATCGGACGCTATGGACCACCGGGTCCTATGGGAGCATCCGGGGGTCCTGGGTCACGGGACTGGATTCCTCCTTTTCTCCCTTCTTCCTCCTCCTCCTCCTCCTCAGCCGCTGCTGCCATCTCACACCCGTCCTCCCAGTCGCCCTCCCCAAGCCCCAGCCAGACCCCAACGCCAAGCCCCAGCCACGGACTATCCAACCCCAGCCATGGGAGCCCCTCTGTGGGGCAAACATCCGGCTGTGCTCCCATAAACCAACAACCTCAAGGCCAAGGGCACAGACTGGGGTCTAAACCCAGCTCCCTGGGGCTTGGTGGTGGGGGGGACAGAAGGGTTGGGTCCCCCAGTTTGGGAAAGTCTGTGGCCCAACAGCAACCAGTGACTGGAGTAAACAGCCCAGGCCATAATAGCGGAGCAGTCCTGAGCACAGCAGCTCTGCAGGCCCATCAGCACCTGACCCGCACCAATGGAGGAGTTACACTCTATCCCTACCAGGTAAGATTCTCTCTGAAGTGTCTGTGAGGAGTGCAAATATTACCATAGACATTGAATACATTAACTCTGGTTTTGCTGAATATAATAATTGGTAACAGGCTACCAACATGCAAATGAAAACATCTCCTGATATGAATTTGTCAGTGAGGACAGGAACTGCAGCGTTTACATTTTCCAACTCGTAGGTGTAGCTGCCTTTTGTGGCGTGAGCTTTTTATTCATCTACCACTGACCATGACTTGTGAGATTATGTTTTCAACACAAGCAAATACAGCCCCCCCACTCTATTATCCTGCAGAGTAGCAAGGCAAACTTTCATATTGTGCATCTTAAAGCAACCAAAAACATGTTTTATTTGTATCTTGCAGGAGTCCATTTATAGGCCTTGGGGGGTTTGTTCCTATCAAATGAGATCTTTACGAGGACACAATAATCATCTCAGAATGTAATAAGCATCTCTTAGTGGGAAGCAAAATATCATCTTCAACAGATTAGAGGCAAGACGTAAAGTTTGAAGTTAATACGACGCAAACATGCAAAATGGAGTGGAATTGAAATTGGAGATAAAAGAAGAGGTTTTAGGAGGAGACAGGAAGAGAGGGTTCACAGGAGAGGAAGATGATAGGAGGAAGAAAAGAAAACGCCTCAGGAGACGTGTGGTCGAGAGGTACGGGGGGGAGCTGAGACAGGGGAGATCCAGAGGTGTGTGTGTGTGTGTGTGTGTGTGTGTGTGTGTGTGTGTGTGTGTGAACGTGTTCTACAGATGTAATAATTCATACAGTGATAATTAGAACTCAGGGGACTCTATGTCACACACCCCCGGTACCCCTTCTCTCTCTCTCTCTCTCTCTCTCTCTCTCACACACACACACACACACACACACACACACACACACACACACACACACACACACACACACACACACACACACACACACACACACGCACCCACACACAAACTCTACTTATTCCTTATCCCTCTTTCTCCCTTCCTCCCCTAATATTTTTCCCATCGTTCTCACACTTTGACTGTTTGATATTCACCTCCTCTTCTCTTCATCTTGCTGTTTCCCCATCTCTCTCTTTATATTTGTATTCAGCCCATGACTAGGGTCAGATGCAGAGATATGGAGTTAGAGGTGGAAATTACTTTGTACAATCTCTGGAATGGTTTTGTTATCTTGTCATACTGGTCAGAAATTAGGCAGAAGAGCTTTCATGCTCTGGCATGTCTGAAAATAAAGTGAAGGCTCTCAAATGAATTGGATGATTAGGAATGATTATTTCTCCTTCTATTATTGTATTCTAAAACTAATAATGTCTAACTGTTTTTGGTTTGCAACATACATGAGCGTGTTGATTTCGTTTTTATTTCCCTTAAAACAAGATTATATTTGTCATGTTTCCTTTGATATTGACTTTTATAATATCACATTGTTTAGATGAAAAAATGAAGTACACTTCCTTTTTACCCTCAACTAATATAATTATGTGTGTTGTTTGTCAGCATTTGTGTGCAAGTTTGTATGTGTGCAAAAAGGCTCTATTTTGTGTATTCAATAATGAATGTGAACGCTGTGTTCTGTGTTTGAGTTTGTATATGAGATAGGAGGTGTTCAAATGTTAGAGAGTCTGAGTGTTTGTACTGTGACTTTGACAGTAATGGTGTTTCAGCAGGAAAGGAGAAACAGAGCAGGATAATAAATCACCCTCATTTAGACTCACCCCTGAGAGAGGCAGAGAAGGAGGAGAAGCTGAGCAGAGAGATGATAAAAGAAATGGGAATGAAAGTAGGATTGAGAAAATGAAAAGAAATTGAAAGATAGAGAGATGGGGGCAGAGAGCAGGAAGAGACGGTTAGAAAGATGGGTTAAGAATAACAGACATGTTGTTATAGACTTCAGTGTATAGACAGATTGCATATCAACCTCAACACTGTGTGTCATTATTTGCCACAGAATTGGATTGTGTTGCTGTACTGCTGCTTCACTGCAGTACAGCAGAACACATCACAGATGGCTGCTCCTTGTAAAATTGGGGCTTTCAGAAAGTCTTCTAATGGCAGATGAGAATATTCTCCAACATATTCACGCTCTTCAGTGAAGTTAAAGAGAAATCAAACACATGTGAATGACAGCGGGGGAAATGAAAAGGGTCTGACTTTAAAACTATGCAGCCAGGATCAGTGTATTTTTTGTGAAATGTGGTCTTTAGAAAAACTTCAAAGGAGCATATTGTTATCTGAGTGGATTCACTGCATAACGCAAAAGTCCGGGGGGGAAATACCATCCTTTGGTCGTTTGTAGCTTGCTTTCCTTCTCCTACACTGTCCTTTGTAGCAGACAGGTGAAAATGCCCCCAAATTTTTTTTAAACAACAACTATTAACAGCAAAAAGAGTAAAGTCTTATTTGAATTAATAGCTTTCAATGATAAATGACCAATAAAGTTATTATAGCACAACGACAGACAGGGAGTAGCGCTGAGAGAAAGGAGGACTCAGAGGTAGACACTGAAAGAAGCAGCCTGTCTGCCGTGTAGCGGACATTAAAATCTTGCTGGGTCAGCAATCTGAGGCGTGACAACCTCCACATTTTATATTTATTAGTACTTTTCTTTAAGGTCAAGAAGTGTATTGGACAAATGGAAAATGCTGAATCAGTCGGAACAAGGATGACTGATTATAACGGACTACGTGTGAATCTGCCAGGAAGCTCACTGGGAACAGTGAGCCGATAAAAAAGCTACGGACATTTTGAAATGGATTTTAAAGGATTGTAAAGTTAATATCTTGATTGAAACAGATCTAAAAGAAAATCAAGGCTTTCCCAATTCGACACCTACTTTAACTGGCTGTCACAGACATATCAAGGTTCAAGGGTTCATTGTATGCTTGTATTCCTGATGTTCTCCATATACAATACTCATTACACCAATACAAGTATGTGCTTTTCTAAAGTGTATTACATAATAACAAATATATATAAAAAACACGTATAAGCACTAAACACAATGGACCACAGATTTTAATGCAACAGAAGTGTATACGGAAATGTGTAAACCGAAAGTCTGATTGGCTTTTTTGAATAATTTCCCATTTTAACTTATTTAAGTTACAGCTGGTTCACCAATGTTTATTACTTCAGTCCAGTTACTGACCAAGATGCTGGTAAACGTAATTCAAAGGTTCCGGCTTCCAAACTACTAGGTGATATCAGACAGCGGGGTGCTCAGTAATTTAAGGGCCTTTAATTTGCTCCAAGAAACACCATCATCTTTTCTTTTGTAAAACACTTAACTCTGTCACAGTTGCCATTAGTTTATCTTTGAGCAGTATTGTGTGTGTGTCACGCTCTCTTTCTTTCCCCTTTTCTTCCTGGCATGAGAAAACAAAACAAACATTGTCTCTTTGCCCTTGCTCTGTCCTTCATGCAGCTAATTGAAAACAGGTTTATACAGTATCAAGTGTGCCTGTGAGTGTGTGTCCGTTGCCTGAGTGTACAACATGTACACACAGACGCAAGCATGCACACATCTGCACACACACACACACACACACACACACACATACACATAAATACATACATACATACATACATACATACATACATACATACAAACGTTTAGGACTAGTTGTGATTAAAAGGTTAGAGAAGGTTGTGACTGGAAGGACTTAGCCAACTTGACTAGCAAGCCAAACTCAGAAAAAACCCATTTGTTTCCATTAATTACACCAGCCGAGGTCACCTTGAGTTCCTCTATNACATCGGTCGCAGGGGTCCCCCGATGACGTCGGGTCCCTTTACCTCGCGAATGTCAACACTCACACTGTATAAGGGTCTGTCTACCATGATTACTTTCTATAATGAGGAGTACGTGGTAATCGACCTCCATTTTCTTTTCCAGTCACCTCTCCTTCCTCTTTAACAGCCGTTTTCTCCTCCTACTCTTTCCTGTTTTCGCGTCCCTCCTCTCCTCACGTCCTTTCATCTCTCCATTTTTTGTCTTTCGTTAATGTACCCTTCTGAAACCTTCTCCTATATTTCACCTCTTCACTTCCTCTTTCCTAGTCCACTCTCCTCTACCCACCTGTGTCCCTAAAACGAAACCGTCTGTCCCTCGTTATTCCTATAACACTGCACACACATACAAACACCGCACACGACACCATATTTATTCTTACAGACATACGCCAGGTGCAGACCTCTCCATTTCCCTGTTCTCTCGGTTCCCCTAAAGTGGTCGTGACGTACCGACGTAATAGTCGGTTTATGTGTGTCAATGTGTGTACATGTTCTCAGTTTGTTATTTTCCACTGTCCTCAATGCTGACAACGGAACATGCTGTACATGCTTAGGTGTGTGTGTGTGTGTGTGTGTGTGTGTGTGTGTGTGTGTGTGTGTGTGTGTGTGTGTGTGGGTAATCCTTTGGTGCATTGTG